TTCAATAACCTCATATGCATGCGAAAGCTGGACAGTGAATAAGGAAGATCATAGATGAATTGATGCCTTTGAATTATGGTGTTGGAGGAGAATACTAAAAGTGCCAGGGGCTGCCAAAAGAATCAATAGATCTGTTTTGGAAGAAGTGCAGCCAGAGTGCTACTTAGAGGCCAAGATGGCAAAACTTTGTCTCTCATACTTTGGACATATTGTCAGGAAGGAACAGTCACCGGAGAAGGATATCATGCTTGGTATGATGGAGGGTCAGAGAAAAAAGGAAGACCCCCAACGAGATGGATTGGCCAGGTGGCAGCATTGATGGACTCAAGTGTGGCAGCAGTAGTGAGGTTGGCCCAGGATCGGATATTGTTTCATTCTGCTGTGCATGGGGTCGCTATGAGTCAGTTCCGACTCGATGGCACCTAACAACAACAACAACAATGGACAACATTGCAAAGTATGAGTGTTCTGGAACACTTAATTGTGCTCATGAGCAATCTGTACCTGAATCAGGAAGCAGTTGTGGGGGGTCCTGGTGTGGTGCTGTGGATTAATGGGCTAGACTGCAAAGCCATTTGAACTGCAAGGTCGGCAGTTCAAGCTCACCAGCTGCTCCTCAGAAACCCTATACAGGGTCACTGTGGGTTGGAACCAACTCGACAGCACTTAACAACAACAGCAATGTAAGTAACTGAAGCTTACTTACACAGAGCAGACCCAAGGTCTGATGACAGTATATGAAGTTATGTAGTCATGTTTATATGGGTGACTGGGCTAGCAATATACAACAAGAGGTAGGTTGGCACAGGAGAGATGAAGGTAACAGGAAGATACAGGAAGAAGTGCAAGAGTTAAAGGAAATAGAGGTAAATACCGTTAACTGATGATATATGGAGGGGTTTCTCATCATTGTCATGAAGCAAAGTATAATGATTTGCTGAAGGTAAAACTGATGATCTGCTCTGTAAACCTTCACTCAATTCACAAAAGTTAAAATAAAAAACAAAAACCAACAACTGTGTTAAGTACCATCAAGTCAGTTCTGACTCACAGCAACCCTGTGTAGGATTTCCTAGGAGGAGCTGGCGGGTTTGAACTGTTGACCTTCTGGTTCGAAGTCCAGTGCTAATCCTACAGCATCAGAGCAGGAGTCCAAAAACTGTGTACCAATATTTAAAAACAACTCAAAGTTCACCCAGTTATCTTTCTATTTGGATATGGAAAAGTGGATGTGGAAAAGCTTTGATTACTGGGCTAGTATGGAAGCCTTACATGAGGGAATAGGTAAATTAAAATGTGAGTTATGCTGCAATCAAAACAAAGTAGAAAACCTCATAAATTACATAATGAACAGAATTCCAGTGTGAAAATAAAGTAGGAATCAGTATCACCTAAGGCAAGTTAATCTTTGAATAGTGAATAAGATGTGAGAGATCCTTTAAAAGAATATATTCTAGAGGGGGAGATAGGGAGAGGTGCCATACAGACCTCTTCCAGGAACAACACAGAATGCCAGAGGAAGCAGGTTCAGGGGACGGTCCCAGAAGTATGAGCTACATATAAAGGAATATTTAGAAGGATCGAAGGCTTATTGCTAGTGGGATTTGTAGCAGAAGAAAGAAAAGTGGTGTGTTCTGATCTGTAGCTTCCAGCAGATCCCAGAACAGCCATCTTGGGCGGGATGGAGCAAGTGCAGCATCAGGGGAGTACACGCATCACAGGGGTCTGGCCGATC